GCATGACCGTACTCACTCGCTCACAGACAGCGGAGATGGAGCAGAAGCCAGGCGAATCTGACAGAGACTATGAGAAACGGGTGATAGCTATGATGATTGAAAGCAAGCAGCGGGCAAAGGCAGCAGCAGCTGCACGCAAGAAGGAGGCAGAGGCAGAGAGGCTGCGTCTTCTAGCAGAAGAACAACGGGAGAAGCACGCAGCAGCAGCAGCGAAGGCCACATATGAAGAGCGCGTAAGGCGGCGGGAGATTCTATTTAAGGAGGAAAATGCGGTACACGCGCAGGCCAAGGATTGGCAGAAGGAGGCCAAGAGTAGGGAATCCGCTGACTACAGGAGCAAGCTATTTCAATTGCTCAACCGCATCTTGGACCTTCTCGCTACGTACATTGCACAGCAGGAAAACATTCACTCTCTCGACCACGCCAACCACGCGCTACAGCAGTCGGTGGACCAGCTGACCAAGTGCGTACATCAGTTGGAGCAGCGACCAGTCACCCCCTCCAGCGTCGGCCCCTCCGACCTCGCCGATCGTGTAAACGTCTGGGAGATAGACGTGGGAACGCTCAAGGCCTGGGCACAGCGGCTGGAGCAGCAAGTTTGCGCAGCAACAGCCGGCTCTACCACGTCGCCATGCGAGAGCATTCCCAAATTCGACGGGGTCTCGATCTTTTGCGCCGCATCGAAGATGGACCCTATACGGTGGTGGCGCCAGTTCGAACTCAAGCTGGACATCCACAAGGTCGTCGACAACAACCGACATGCATACTTGTACTCTTGGTCAGGAGGTGCGTGTCAAGCATGGTTGGACAACATGCTGTCCGCACACGCGTGCACAGTCTCCGAGCTGCATAACTTCATCACCTGGACTAATCTCACGGCGGCATGGCAGAAATGTTTCCAAGTGGAACCACCCGAGCATCAGGCGATGGACAAGCTGCTCGCATTTTCTCAGAACAACATGCCAAGCGGAGACTGGATATCCGAGTTCCAACGCCTGGCGAGCACACCGAAGCTGCCGATGACCTTCAACGGCATCAAGCTCTACTTCATCAAGAGGTTGTGCCCGGCGTTGCAAAATGCGTTGACTCAAGTCGCCGAGAACCTCGACACAAGTGAAGAACTCTTCAACAAGGCCAAGCAGATCATTGTAACATGGAAGCCAAGAATATTGGTCGTTCGTTGACTGCCGGCCAGGGCGCGTATCAGCATCGGCCGAAAGTGGCCGTATTGCGGCGGCAACGTCGAGCGACCCTTCAACTTCAAACGAGGGTTCCTCATCTGACGAGGGAGACAAATTAGCAGCTGCCCGGAACAATGGTCGCCCCGCCAAAGGACGAGGTTGCGGCAAAACGAAGACAAACACCACTTCTTCTGGGCCCGGACAAGCAGCTCCGGCTCAAGAACCTTGGACACATTATGGTCTGTCGGAGCGCGGGTATCGCATCCGCACCAACTACCACTATTGTTTGTGGTGCAACAACTCAGCGCATGATACCGCAAGCTGCACAACCAAGGGCACTTCCCAGTCGGGAAAGTGAGCACCGCCACTCTCGGCGCCTTTGGAACCGATTGCCGTGAGGGTAACCTCCCTCGGTTTCGGGGCAGATGCAGAAGTCGTAAGTCCTCCCATTCTTCATTCTTTTGAGGACTATGCTGCCCGACTTGTACCTTCGCTGAATTCACGAGCCCAAGGACAGGATGTATGTGCGGTTTCTTCTCCGTTCGGAAGCAGCGGCATCGAGTCGTCTTCAAGTGGACCTTCACGGGATTCGGCGCGCGCGTTCAACATAGGGTACCTTGACCCGTTGATGCCCGAGGATTTTGCATGCCTTCCTCTCCCTTCCACTGGCTGCTTACCGGAACTGCAATGTGCAGCACTTAGCGCTCATCTACATACATGGCCTTCTATGCACCACCAACTTCGCCGACGGATGACGAAGTCGCAGTGGGGGACATCCTTGCGTATGTTACCAAGGTGGCCCACGAGTTTCGCACGCAGTGGTACGATGACAACAATGCACCACTCCTTTATGTCCGCATCCAAGTTGGGCAAGTGTCCTGCAGCGCTTAGTTGGATAGCGGCGCGCTTCGCAATTTCATCAGCCAGTCCTTTGTCCGAAGGACCGGCCTTGGCCCACAAGTTCGAAGGAAGGCACACCCTACGACGATCAAGTTGGCGGACGGAGGGATGCAACAACTCCTTAACCGCTACATCGAGGCTGTACCGGTCTATTTCGCACCTCATGCATGCGAACCGGTGACGTTTGACGTCTTGGACACAGACTTGATCATTTTGGGCATGCCTAGGCTTGCAAGTGCGGATCACACGGTCAACTTCCATCGACGGACACTTACAGACCGCGATGCCTTTGGTGCCGAAGTGTCGTGTACCATCCCTCCTCCGCACCCTTCGATCCGGTGCCAAGTTGTAACGGCCTCCGGGCTACTTGCGCTTAAGAGCGGCCCGACGAGATAGGCCTATGCTTTCTTCGAACCGTCGCGGTAGTTGAATCTCCATCCACGGACTTGTCTTCGGACCCCCGCGTGGTACGGTTGCTTGACAAATTCTCTGACATCTTCGAGTCACCTACCGGCGTGGTGCCGGATCGGCCAATCTCTCACGAGATCATTCTCGAGGCCGGTGCCGAGCCGCCGAAAGGTTGCATCTATCGCATCAGCGAGGAGGAACTTACAGCACTCCGCACACATCTCGACGACTTGTTGGACAAAGGCTGGATTTGGCCTAGTAGCTCACCCTATGGTGCGCCAATTCTCTTCGCGCGGAAGAAGAATAAGGATCTTCGCCTATGCATCAATTACCGCAAGCTCAATGCACAATCCGTCAAGAACGCGACGCCTCTTCCTCGTATTGACGACCTTCTGGAGCGTTTGGGCGGCGCAAAATTCTTTTCAAAAGTGAATGTGAAGTCGGGATATCATCAGATTTCGATACGCCTGCAAGATCGCTACAAGACCTTGTTCAAGACGCGGTACTGGCATTTTGAGTGGTTGGTCATGCCTTTTGGCCTCACCAATGCCTCGACGACTTTTCAAGCGGCGATGACCAACGAGTTTCGCGCAATGCTAGATCGGTTTGTGCTGGTCTACTTGGATGACATCCTCGTCTATAGTCGGACCTTGGAGGAACATCTCGAGCATCTTCGACGAGTATTGGGGACGCTCTGTCACGCCAAGTACAAAGCCAACCACAACAAGTGCGAATTCGTGCGTCAAGTTGGAGTACTTGGGCCATTTTGTCACACCGGAAAGCATCAGTCCGTTGTCGAACAAGATTCAAGCCATCCAAGATTGGCCGGAGCTGCGGAATGTCACGAATGTTCGTTCGTTCCTTGGCCTTGTCGGCTACTACCAACGTTTCATCAAGGGATACTCGAAGATCGTGGCTCACTTGACCAAGCTTCAATGCGAGAATCGGCCGTTTGACTTCGGGAAGGATGCGCAGGAATCATTTTTGTCCCTCAAGGCTGCATTGCTATCTGCGGAGGTCTTGCGCAGATACGACCCGCTATTGCTGACGCGCGTCACTACGGATGCATCCGACTACGACATTGGTGCCGTCCTCAAACAACATGATGGCATGGTCGGGCACCTGGTCGAATACTTCATCAAGAAAGTGCATGTCGTGCAGTCAATTGATGATGCACGCAAGAAGGAACTTCTCGCCTTCTTCCACGCGCTCAAGCAGTGGCGGCACTTCCTCCTTGGTCGAAGCCAATTCCGATGGGTAACGGACAACAATCCGTTGGTCTTTTAAAGACCCAAGATACCGTTAACAACACCATCGTCGTTGGATGGCTTTCATCGACCAGTTTGACTTTTTTCCACCAAGACCCAAAAGCAGCAGGATTCCACCTACGAGAAAGAGTTGTACGCTCTTATGTGCGCGATGAAGCATTGGAAGCATTTCCTCCTGGGTAGGCACTTCAAGATCTTTTCAAATCATTCCACTCTGCAGTGGATGAAGACCCAAGCAGAATTGAATGCACGCTATATTCAATTCATTGATTTGTTTGACTTTGAACTGAAACACAAGAAGAGCTGCTACAATAAAATAGAAGATGCCCTCTCTTGTGGGCCTGACACTTTTGCGGCCACCTCTTCTACTCGTTCCTTTGGAGAGGAGACCCGCCAGACCATTGCCCGGTTACTGCCTCAAGATCCAACTTATAGACTCGTCGTGAGGAATCTGCAAGCAGATCCCAATTCTGAACCAGGCTATGCCCTGAGTTCAGGCTTGTTGTATACGTACAGCAATGGGGAGGAACGCTTGTGCATCCCTAAGGATCAGCCACTCAAAACACTGCTAATATCAGAGTGTCATGATGCACGCGGCCACTTTGGGTTCTTAAAGTCTTATGCAGCCCTATCGCAACGCTTTTTCTGGAAGGAGATGCGGAGTGATTTGCTGCGCTATATTGAAACCTGCAAGCTATGTCAAAGGAATAAGGTCCAGCGTTGACCTCCTCTTGGCTTGCTCAAACCCCTACCCATACCTGATGGTCCTGTTGAGTCTGTGTCTATTGACTTTACAGATTTAGGCAAAACCACCCCTCGTGGCATGCATCAGGTAATGGTATGTGTTGACAGGTTCTTTAAGTACGCAAAGTTCATCCCCTTACCAGAGGAGGCTAGGGTCCCTGCTGTTAGAGCAGCGTTTGCTGAGAGGTGGGTAACTCGCCATGAACCGCCCACTTCTATAGTCAGTGACAAAGATCCATGATTTTGCAGCAGTGAATGGTAGTCTTACTGTAAGGATTATCTGCATTCACGCTTGGACATGCCTTTTGGTCGTCATCTTGAGCCGATGGAGAGGCTGAAGTGATGAACCAAATCCTGTTTCAGTTGTTGCGTCCTCTCATCTCACCAGATCAACAAGACTGGGATCTCCACTTGTCTCGTGCACAGCTTGTGTACAACACCTCAATTCACTCGTCAACTGGGTTCACCCCTTCTCGTTTACACTGGGGACGTGAACCACGACATCCTCTTGATGATCTCATCAACAAGGCCCAATCTGATCCAACTCCTGGGACTGTTGAGTTCGCTAGGCGGTACAGGATAGATGTGGAAACGGCACGTGCTAACTTGTTCAAAGCCCAAAAGGCGATGATTGAACAAGCTAATCGACACCGGCGTCCTTCCCCCATTCGTAACGGCGACCATGTCTGGGTAGCCAGCTCGGAGTTGTCGAGGGAGGAGGATATCTCTCCCAAGTTGTTGCCACGCTATTTGGGTCCGTGGCAGGTGCCAGATACAGTGAGCTCCGATCCTTTTCGCCCGCCGTACGTAATTGACGTCCCACTGCATCTGCAGACCTATCCGGTTTTCCATGCATCCAAGTTGTTGCCTTTTTCATCAGCTGATGCATTCCCTAACCGGCCCCCTCAATTTTACCACCTATACCTCGACGTGGGTATGAGGTAAAGTCAACTGAGGATGAGTGGGGCACTGGCCCCGATCGACAATATCTTGTGAAGTTTTCTTTTCAGCCTCATTCTGAGGACCGCTGGTTTAAGCGGAAGGAACTTCTCAAGACAACGAAGTCTATGGTTCTACGGTACGAGGCGGCTCAGAAGGGATTACTCCCTCGCCAGTCCCCTCGGTTATGCCCTTAGCTCGGAGGTCCTCGCTCCCCCGGGGGGTAAGCCTGAAACGACTTGCTGATTTGACTGCTGTGTTCTGACTGCGAGGCTGTATAGTACAGCTAGAGTTAGATTTGTAATTTTGTTTTCTCTGAGGACTAACCACGATTTCAATCTTTAAGAAATATCTATAAATTTGAAAATCTACAGTCCCAACCTAACTCGAATTTCCTATACTATCCCACCTGCGGATAGCAGACCCGGGCTACCATGAGAATGGACAGGCCTACAGGCCTACGCTGATAGACTGGTCCTATAGCCTATAGCCCGGTAGGGCAAGGCCCTAGAGGTCAAAACTGAAACGCGCCTGGTCAGTCCAGTCCTAGGTCTAGGTTAGTCGATTAATAGAAGGGAGGTAGGATAGCGGGGGATTTTTGGCAGTTCCCTTTCGTCGATGATGCGAGCATGGAGCCAAGGAAGCAAGATAAGTGGCGATTGACTTTGGGCGGCATCCTGAGTCCCTCGTCAGCCATAGACAGACCTCTGGGGCCCTCTATAGCTGGGGCGCCCTCACCACACTCACCCCTAAGGGTGCCTGTGATCGTTTGGGCTATTGGGAAGCTCTACATAGCTGTTTATGGGTGGACCACAGCTGCTGCTACTTCATCAGAGTTTGCGGTGTGGCAAAGACAGTGGCGCTGCAGCCATAGCTGCAGCTTTTGACGTCCGAGACTCTTCATCTTCATAAAAAAATTGAGCGTTGACAAACTGTTTCGTCGGAGTTTCACCGATATATATCGTCACAAACAGAACTGCCCGATAAACCATAGGCAGAGAGAGAGAAGAGGACAACAAACGAGGGGCTGTGACAAACTGTTTCGTTGGAGTTTCACCAACTCATCAGGAGGCTGAACCCTCAACAGTCTGCAGAATCCCCTCACTGATTACACTGTAAATGATAATCTACCTTAACCAAAATCAAAGTAGACTATCAATCACCTATATATATATATCGTCACAAACAGAACTGCCCGGTAATATATATATATCGTCACAAACAGAACTGTCCGGTAAAACCGTAGGCAGAGATTCTCCCTCTTTGCCTACGGTTTACCGGGCAGTTCTATTTGACGATATATATATATCGTCACAAATAGAACTCCCCGGTAAACCGTAGGCAGAGAGAGAGAAGAGGACAACAAACGAGGGGCTGTGACAAACTGTTTCGTCGGAGTTTCACCGACTCATCAGAGGCTGTGACAAACTGTTTCGTCGGAGTTTCACCCACTCATCAGGAGGCTGAACCCTATATATATATATATTGTCACACTGTGAATCAGAGCGCAGAAGCGAAAAAAAGGAAGAAGAAAAGAAGAGAAAAGAAAAAAGGGGGAGAAGAAGAGGTAAGGAAAGCTCCACCTGTTCATAACCTCTTACGTACAAGGCCAGCCACGTGGATGACAGGTTGAGCGCTGGCTGCCCCCATCCCCGTGTGTCATAAAGACCCACTTGCACGCAGCCAAAAGGCAAAGAGGTAAAGAAAAGGCGGAGGAAACCAAACCTGACAGAAGAAGAAAGCCTATTAAACAGACGAAGCAAGTACACATCCCACAGATAATCCAATTACCATCCCACAGAACATATTTTTCTTTTTTCTTTTTTCAGACGAAGCAAGTACACATCCCACAGATAATCCAATTACCATCCCACAGAACATATTTTTCTTTTTTCTTTTTATGTTCTGTGGGATGGTAATTGGATTATCTGTGGGATGTGTACTTGCTTCGTCTGAAAAAAGAAAAAAGAAAAATATGTTCTGTGGGATGGTAATTGGATTATCTGTGGGATGTGTACTTGCTTCGTCTGTTTAATAGGCTTTCTTCTTCTGTCAGGTTTGGTTTCCTCCGCCTTTTCTTTACCTCTTTGCCTTTTGGCTGCGTGCAAGTGGGTCTTTATGACACACGGGGATGGGGGCAGCCAGCGCTCAACCTGTCATCCACGTGGCTGGCCTTGTACGTAAGAGGTTATGAACAGGTGGAGCTTTCCTTACCTCTTCGTCTCCCCCTTTTTTCTTTTCTCTTCTTTTCTTCTTCCTTTTTTTCGCTTCTGCGCTCTGATTCACAGTGTGACAATATATATATCATCACATGAATATGAGAGCGCAAAAGCGAAAAAAAGAAGAAAAAAGAATGAATTCGTTTTTTTATATCTTCTTCCTTACAACTCCCCCTGTTCAGAAACTGGTGTGACCGACTGTTCGTTCAGACCTTCACCAACTCCTGAGATGGCTGCACCCTCGACAGACTGCAAAGTCCCCTAATGGATGATACTGTTAGTGATAATCCACCAACCACTACCCCAAAACTGATACCCAAGGTGGATGCCGCCGAATGCATGCTACGCAAGCAGACAATCACTCGCCCACACCAGATGGACGACTACAGAATTTAGGTTCACAACCCGTCAAAAGCCAGCAAAGCCCCCATGAAACGCAGAAAGGTCTTCCATAGTTTGGAAAACACACTAATATGGATGCATACATATAATGTCAGATATGTACCAACTAAAAGAGCTCACTTTGTGCAGCAGACGATAAAAGCACAGAAGACAAACATGGAGGGCAGACTGAAACCGGTCTCTTTGTCTCTCTGTATGCAGTTCTTCCTTTTCTTTCCTTACTGTCGACTCTTAGATTATTTCTTTTTTTAGCTCCCCCTTCATTGTGCCTATCACGTACAAGTAAAGGGAGCCGGGATAAACACGCAGAAAAGATAGAAAGAAGACGAAGCGAAGGACAGCAAGAGAGAATTGCCTGGCGAACTGTTGGCAGAAAAGGAGAAAAGGACAAAAAACAAGGGTTTGTGACAGACTGTTTCATCAGAGATTCACCAGACTCGTCAGGAAGATGAATCCTTTTTTTTTTTATTTGTGCGTGTGTGGGGAGGGAGAAAGCATCCTACTACTACGTTTACAAAGGTCCCCAGCTCATTACTACCACATATACAAACGTTGCTACTCTGCACGGGTGAGTACTGACTCCACATCTGCACCCGCTGTTGTTCCAGAGTGCAATGGCCTCTGTGGGGTGATTATGGGTCTCCAGACCGCTCAAAAAGCTTTCTCGGCCACCGGTATTTTTTGCAAGGCAGGGGGGGCATGAATGCAAAATCAGCACCGACAGTGGTTGGAAGCCATCCCAGTTGGATGCTTTTCCTCTGGCTGAATTTCTGCAGTCGGCACGGCCCTGCCAGTCGGA